TCTCGAACCCGCGGGCTCAGGCAATCCACTCACTTCAGCCTCCCAAAGGCACGGGAATACGGGACCCAGGGTGCCATGCCAGAAACCTGGTTATTCTTCCTCACCAATCAACCATGTGTCCTCAATACTGCTCCCAAGAGGCTGTCAAATCTGCCCACTTCTCAGACTTCATCACCACGTTTCCAGGTCCTCACTTTCACAGGATTTCTGTCGCAGTCTCCTAACCATTTTCTCTGCCTCATCTCTCTTGCTCCAGTGCACATCCCATACTACTATCAAAGCACACTTCACACTTCATTGCTCAGCTTAGACCCATCCACCAACTCCTGAAAGCCGACAGTGTGTGGTTCAAATTCACTGAATCCTGTGTGCAGGGCTCTTCATGGCCAGTCCCTCCCACCTACCTCCCCAGCCATACCTTCTTGGCATCAGGCTCCAGAAGCATAGCTGAGGAGCCTTCAGTGTCCTCAACACACAGTGCTGTCCTCAGCTCTGCCCTTCTGCCTGGAGCATGTATCCCATGAGCCTTCACTTGGCTGATCCCCACCTGAGTCAAGGTTCAACTCAAGTGTCACCTACTCTGCGAAGCCTTCTCTGCTCTTCCCTCGTCCTATTCCTTCAAGGGTAGGTGAGGTGCCCTCCTTTGGGCTGCATCAGTAGCCCATATTGGCCTCTATTGTATTGGTAGATTTTTTTTTTTAGTTGTAATTTCAATCGAGTTGTGTGCCAGGCTGTACTACGTGATATCTGAGTCCATGTCAGCTTTTCACACTGGCCTTTAAGCCACTTACACTCAAAACCACATTTTAGTCATTTTTGCCTCTCTGTTTCCTCCAAGGGTGCCCCATAAATATTGGTTGAATATAACTGAAATAGTAAATTAACTTTTCTGTTAAAGGGAAATAATGGAATAAAGCTATGATTTTGCCCTGGAAATCTGGCATAATCTTTGCAGCTTCTCAGCCTCTCCCTATAACTAGACTGTAGCTTTTATTTTATCCCAAACCATGGAGCGTAAGGCCTGAGTAGTGCAGTCCTCTTTCCAAATGTGCAGTTTCACATCTTTTCTAGCTATGTCACTTGACTACTCTGGGCAGAGAATTACAGAAAATCCAACTTAAAGTGGCTTGAATAATAAAAAGAATGTCCTGGTTTGGGTCCTAAGGAAGTCCAGAGACAAGGTGGAGATCAGGCAAGGCTCAGTCAGGGGTCTGCCTGTTCCTACAGTTGTCTTGGTTCTACCCCTTCTCTGCTTATTAGCTTCACTCCCAGGCTACCTGGAAAATGACTGCATTAATTTGAGTTTAGGGTCACACAGGACAGTATCAGAGGAAGAGAAGCTGTATCTGAACAACTAGGGTTCTGTTTTTCCAGAAGTTTCCAGCAAGCTTCTCCTCACATTTTATTGTGCTGAATTGGATCACATTCTTCTTTCTGAGACAGTCCCACTGGTTGGGAAATATCATGCACTGGTTGACTTGGTCTGGTGTCCTGAAGAGCTAGGGGTCTGGTCAACTCCCTTGAAGTATGTGCATTGCCTAGAGGAAGAGTGGATACCGCAAGGAAATCAGTATATGGAGCTAAGAGGAAGAAAGTGGCTCAATGCCCATTGTGCTAGGACCAGGCCATACTTTACCCTTAAAATCTTTCTCTTCTGGTTCCCAGTGGGTTATAACAGAAACCCTGGAATTGTGAAGTTGTGAAAGAAAAGTTAAATCAGTTCAGAATCAATGCAACAATGCATGTGGTTGGGCAGTGTATAAGCGGGACAGGGCCATGTAAGGATACCCCTATTGCTTCCTTCGAGAATTTCTCTCTTCTGTTTGTGCAGTAGAGCATGAATTAAGCCTCCCAGCTTGTCTCCTCAGCATCAGTCCCTAAAGCAAGCATGGGGCCTTTTTGAGACTTTCTAAATGTTTTTTTACAAAGGGCCAGTGACTGGGGAGAGTAAACAGCTTCCTCTCCCATCTCCCAATTGTCTCATTCATTTTCTCTTTTTTCCCTTAGGCTCTGTAGAGCCACACAGAGACTGCTGGTAGGTTCTTCTCTGAAACTGAGGACTCTTCTGAGAAGCCAGGCTGTGGCCCACCCCTATAAAAAAATCTGAATCTCAGAACAATAACTGGTTTTCACTGGACACCAGCAGGAAGCCTCTTTTTTCTTTCCAGTAGCTCTGAAAGTTTTGCCTTCTTGTGCCTATGACATTCTGATTATTCTATGCCTTTTTGTCCCCTCTAGATGTTCGACTGGATAAGCCACAACAAGGAGTTATTCCTTCAGAGCCACACAGAGATTGGAGTCAGCTACCAGCATGCCCTAGACCTCCAGACGCAGCACAATCACTTTGCCATGAACTCCATGGTGAGCTGAGGGGCTGTTCTCAGCACTGCCTCAGGGTTGAGAGGAGGTGGAGGGGAAGGAGGGGGAGGAGGAGGAGGACAGACAGAAACAGACTTCTCACCCGAATAAGATTGAGGAGCCCTGAACCTGCGGACCCTTTAGTGTTCCAATTGCCAGGATAGGGACATGTGCAGGACATGTGGCCAGCCAGCTGTGCCTGCAGCAGATTGTGGTTCCATTTCTGCCTCCAGACCCCACTTTACACCATGAAAGGAATGTGCTTGGGGTTGTAGGAGGTATTAGCTCAGCTCAAGACTAGAAGAAGGGAGAGTACCAGTTCCACTTGACTGACTTAACCGACATATTTTGGTCCCCAGCATGTGTGAGTCACTGAGCTGGGATGGTGAAAGGCCTCGAGCTGTAGCACATTGGAAACGGTTGAAAAACTGGGGCTGTTTAGACTGGAAAAGAGAAACTCTAAGGGATATGTGATTGCTGCCTTCAAATATTTGAAGGGCTACCTTAAAGAGAAAAGAGTCGAATTGCTTTATGTTGGTCTAGGAGGCAGAAATATCCAGGGGATGGCAGTTTGAGGAATGTCCAGGGGAGGTAGGATATGGCTTGCAGGGTGGAGGTGGAGTGGAATGCAGTGGGAGTTAGTGCTCTCCCCATGATGGGGAGTGTTCAAGCAGATGCTGAATTCAAAAAGGGATATTTGCAAGCTGTGTGGCCAGATGGAACTTACCTTGCCTCTGTATGCTTTGGTTTCTTCATCTGGAAAATAGAAATACTAATAGCTACTGTACAAGGTTGTTGCGAGGATTCAATGATTAATTGATAAGTAATTGGAATTTTGCCTGGTACCTAGTAAGTCATCAGTGAATGCTGGTAGTACAGTAATGATAAAGGTGTAGGAGTCTAGTCCAGATAACCACTATTATCTCTCATAAACCTAACACTTAGGGATAATTTTTTTTCCTGGATGGTTGCCCCAAGAATTTATTTCAAAGTCATATCTGCTTCTTGAGTTTATTGTGCTTCAAACTCCTACAGCCAAAGTTTGCCTCAACGTATCTCTGTTTCTCCTCACTGCCACCTCTTCCTACTTGCACCTTTTGTCCAGAAGAATAGCTCTACATCCCCCATACATCTGAAAACCCAAGATACCTATTGCTGCAGCTGGTGATGCTGGGAGTGGGACAAATGTTAGAAAAACAAAACTATGCGGGATTACAGAGACCAAGAAGGAATTGAATTTCGTTTCCTGCTTTTTGAAAAAAGCTCAGACAATTATGATGTAGCTTGATATGTGCAGTAATACAAATATACTGAGTTAATGAAGAACCATAAAATCTCAGTGGTTGAAAATAACAGAGCTTTAGTTCTTGTTCTTCCCACACACCCATCCCTAGCTTATGGGAGACCTGCATATCACAGTCACCCAGGGGCCAGGGCTGATGGAGCAGCCACCATGTCAGATGCTGTTGTTGCCTTGACAAAGCATGTAGCCAAGCACACATGCTGACTCTGAAACCTTCCACCTAGAAGTGACACATTCTCTCACATTTCATTGGCCAATGCCAATCTCACATGAATACATCTGACTTGAAGTGACTAGGGATGTCATGCAGTCCTGCCACATGTTGGTAAGGAGAGAGCAGGAGAGGCTTTCTAAAGTTTTTACAGGACCAGTGGCTAATGACAGGCACAGAGAGTCACCAAAGAGAGTTAGGAAGAGATGAACATCATGAGATTTGCATAGAAAGATCACTCTGGCTGCTGAATAGAAGGTTGTGAGAACAGGCAAATCATCAACGCTGATTGTACACAGTCTTGTGTCATCGTCTAAATGTAGAAACTCATTCTTTTCCAGCTAGTCTCATATAGTTACTTCTCACCTCTGGCTTACTATAGTCAGAGGAGCAATTGATCACAGGTAATTAAGACTGTGAACTCAAATCTAGTCAAGTTTGATTATTTGTGTTCCTTGTGGATTTTCCTGGGTAAGTTTTACAAATTCTGTGCCAGAATCTTCCTGTCACCTTACCTCTTGGCCCTAAGGCAAATGAACTCATTTTAATAAGAAACAAAGACAAACGTGATTAGGGAGGTAAAGTCTTCAACCAAGCCTCTAGAAACAATGAACTGCAAAGTTAAATAGAAATAACCTTTGACTTTGAATATTCTCCATGGCTGCCCTTCTCTGTTTATAGGGATAACTGAGAGTTAACGGCACAACAAAAACCTTTCCTCTGACAGATTTACTGTTGAAGTCTGCATTTTTAGGACAAAAAGTTAGGAAAGAAATTTACCAAAGGGAAGTATCTTCTGGAACTGGGGGAGAGAAAAGAGATTTAATATACAATAGCCAATTAGTATGTTCCAGCCTATCTTGTAACCTCCTCACTGTGAATGCACACAGCACTCAGAGGCCTCCTTAGCCTGATTAGGCTGGATCTCCTCTCTGGCTGCAGGACAAGGGAAGGGAGATCTCAGGGTTGCTGGATCAAATTGCCTGGGTACCTGTACTTTATCAACAGGACTTGGTACCTTTGTTAACCAGGAGGTTTGTAGGTTTGTTATTAAAGGAAACTTCCTGCAAAGAGGGATATCAGTATCCTAAGCTGGTGAGAGGAAGGAATCACAGACTCCCTTCTGACCTGAGTGATGGATGTTGCTGCCAAAACACATATGAATATAGGCAACTACTGCTCAAGTCCAGTGACTATAGGAATGATTATTTATTCAGGGGAAGTGGAAATGTAGATTGTTCTGTAAACTCACTGAGGTGTTTTTGTTCTTGGAAATTATATACACACATATATGTACACGCACACTCATACATGTAGATGCAAATGTAGTATACTTTGTTTTAGGCTACAGGTGAGTCCATTGGAATTGAAGCTTGTTTTACTGCAGAAATAGAACTTTGGTTCCGGGAGGTCACAGATCCCTTTGAAATCCAATGACTGTTGTGAGTCAATATATTCATGAACACCTTTTTTCAGACAATTTCAGGAGACTCAGGGAAATCCTAAAGTCTATAAATAAACACCCCCAATTTAAGGTCCTAAGAACCTCATAACTTATTTATTCACTCATTCAACAAAAAATTAAGAATCAGACATTGTGCTGGATGTTGAGCATATGGTGGTAAACAAAACAAAGATGATCATGTCCCATGGAGAACCCAGTGTAGAGACAGATGTTAAATGTATAATCTCACAAATAAATATATAATTGCAAACGAGTAAGTCTTATGTTAGAAGAACAAGGAATATTTTGACAGAGTATAACAAAAGAGACCAATTTAAATAGGGGGTAGTCAGGTCAGGTACATTTTTTTCTATCAAAAATCACATTTACTTAATATTCATTGCTCATTCATTAATAGTAATTGACAGCCTGTGAATTAACTCTACTATGTACCAAATAGCTTGTAATTTATGAAGTCCTAGATATATCATTTTGTAAATGAAAATAATCAACTAATAACTTACCTGGGTTGTTTCCATGTGCTTAGTGTTTATACACTGGTTAAAATCCCAACTCAAGCTAAGGAGACCATTACTGATGCATTAATTTTCTAGACTGCCATAATAATACCATAGACTGGGTGTCTTGAACAACAGAAATGTGTTTACTCACAGTTCTTGAGGCTTGAAGTCCAAGATCAAGATGTCGGCAGGTTTAGTTTCTCTTGAGGTTTCTTTCCTTGGCTTACAGATGGCAGCCTTCTCACTGTGTTCTCACATGGCCTTTGTGAGCACACACCCTTGGTATCTAGAGAGATACAGAGGGATATCTTAATCTCCTCTTTTTATAAGCACACAAGTCAGATTGGATTAGGTCCTACCCTAATGACCTCATTTTTACTTAATTACCTCTTTAAACACTCTATGTCTATATGCAGTTACATTCCGTGGTACTAGGGCTTAGGGCTTCAACGTATAAATTTTGGAGGGATGCAATTCAGTCTATAACACAAAGAAATAAATGCATATTATTGCATTATGGAAGAAAAATCAGAAATTTTCTAAATTTCATCTATGAATTGGTATCAATAGAGGCCATCAATTATTAACATACCAAGAGTGTGGGAGTAATACTTTACTAAGTATGGTACATTAATAACTATTAAAGAAGTTAAAATTGATTGATCTTTAGATTTTTTTCATAACATATTTTTTGCTGTTCCCACCGGGGAATCCTTAATGGGAAGATCTTTTGGTCTCAGTAATAATAACAACAACAAAAATAATCTACCTACTAAACCGAGTAGGAAAAGAGTCTCTGACTTCTTACAGTGCCTCAGAAAGCCAGGTTTCCTGAGCTCTCTGGAGCCTTTCTCTTTCTTAATTCTACCTTCTGTTGTAGAAGCCTTTCCCATAAATTTTTCTTCCCCTGAGTGTGGTTGCCTTCTCAGATGAGAGAATGGGCAGATGGAGGTGAAGTTGGGTGGTGATTTGTACAGAACAGTCATATAGCCATCTATGTTCTGGTTCTTCCTGGGACTCTCACAGGAGTCTATACAAACATTATTTACAATTTTAATTAGCTGTTTCTTTAGGGAAAAAATTGCTAATGGCTTCTGTCTAGAGTTTTAAAATATGAAATGATATTCATTTTCTATTATTATGACTGTGATGATTCACATTAGTGATAACACTATGCAGCTGGATGGGAGGAGTCTTTTCTGCTGCAGCATGCTAGATACCTGCTTTAATCCTATTAATTTGCTCACCAGAGGCACATATTGCCACTTGAACGTGTACAAATCAGACCAATTGCAGCAAAGACTATGGTGTTTACTCTTTGTTTTGAGGGAAAATTACAAATGGCAGCACCAAGGGAAAGTCAGATCTGGTATGAAAGAAATAAAGATTCTGAGGCAGGTGGTTTCCTGACCCCAATCTCAAAAACCTTGCCCTGGGGTTATTTGTCATCTTTGATTCTTGGCATCCCCAAACTATGATTCTGCATTAATTCTTCATCTCCAAACAGGCAGCACTTTCTAGAAT